TTCTTCAAGCATACTTTTATGAGTGCACCAAAGTTGGTTCTACAGTTAAGAAATACAACGATTTTGCTTTTACAAGGGAATAATTTGAACAGAAATTGAAGAAACTGGTGTCAAAATTCCAAACAAAAATTTAGTGTGTAAGATTATTTTCAGTGATCCTGACAAAACAAAACAAAACAAAACATAACAAAACAAAACAAAACAAAAAAACGAATGAGGAAATTGAGGGGAGACCTCATCACAGTCTACAACTCACGAGGGACAGTAGAGGGGCAGGTGTTGATTTCTTCTCTCTGGTGACCAGTGATAGGACATGAGGCAACAGCCTGAACCCGTGAAAGAGGAGGCTCAGAATGGGTATCAGGAAAAGGTTTTTCACTGAGAGGGTGGTTAAGCACTGGAACAGGCTCCCCAGGGCAGTGGGCACATCACTGAGTCTTCCAGAGTTCAAGAAGCATTTGGACAATGCCCTCAGACACAGGGTGTGATTTTTTGGGTGGTCCTCTGGGGACCCATGAGTTGGACTCGATGATCCTTGTGGGTCCCTTCCAACTTGGATACTCTTATGATTCTCTGAATCTATGAAATTAATACCATTAAGTGCTGCTTCAATGAAACCGGAACAGTGCTTCAGGAAGTCCAGTCCAGCTGGCTACTAGAAATACAGCTGGTTCCCCAAACGTTTGTTAATCTTATATCTTAGTCCTGCTCACCATCACCAACCATGGCAGGTGCTTCCTCTTGCATTCATTCCTTCTCATCACGGTCAATTGGCATGGTGCAGGGCTGTGTAGTGCTGGGGCCTGTCATGGCAGGAGGGGAGAAGGGGACTTGCAAAAGCAGCATTTTTCAACCATGAAGTAGTGTTTTCCAGCAGAGAAGGACTCTGTTGGAAAAATTCTCATCCTGAATTACTAAGGGTAATGAATTCAAACCTGTTAAACAGTGGTACCTTGCAGCTTTATGGTTTTCAGCATGAAGATCAATTTATCAAATGGAAGGAAAAAGATCTTGTCAAAAACACCAAAGATATATTTTTATTTTGAGATGAGTCAAGACAATAGTTTGATAAAAATAGTTTTTGCTTTTATGGGATCTGAAAGAACATAGAAATATAAATACTTTAATTAAGTGAAATGATGAAGACTTTCTGAAAATACTTGGACTGCTAGTATTTTGAAGATGAGGAGATAGAATGGTCACATATTTAGGTATTAGCTTTGAGGTATGTGTTTGTATTAACTTAATATGGTTATGTGCTTGATTTGCCTGATGATTAAGCCTGTGCTTAAATGCTTTGCTGAATTGAGCCATGAAAGAGAATGTTTGAAGGAAGACAAGGTATGTGGCATGTTTGAAGAGGAAAATCAAATCACTTTCAGAACTTAGAAATGTCATATAAATCCTCATCTCAACATCAGTGGAAAAAAAAAAAAACACTTAAAAATGTATGTTGCAAAGCTTTGCAGAAAATAAGAAAATGAGGTTCTGCTTTGAAAAATTCACCCTAGTACTTATGCACATGATAATCAGAAATACAGATTATCAGAGTAGAAGGATTTAAAGGGACACTATCAACTTGAAATATATTCATTTATTAAAAAAAGTTAAAAGCAGTGTCAGATAAAATTTCTACTCTATGATTGCTCTGAAAATTCTCAGGGCTTTACAGTCACGATTTTCTTTCTGCTGTTGCAGTGAGAAAGAATCACAGAAACATGGAGAATAATGAAACTGAAGATACACAGAATGCATACAAATGCAGAAGTAAACAAACTAGAAAGAACCAGAAATGGTTTTTCATTTTTTTTTTTTCTGTTATTTGTAGTTACAGCAAGCCTTGGAGTTATACCAAGCAATAAAAAGCACATTATTTTCAGGGAACAGAGTGACTTTTAAGTACTGTTGCTTAAAGGCAAAGGCATTGATCCTCAATTAAATAAAAAATAATTTACTTTTCCTTTTCAATAAAGGTTGTCCAGCAGCCTTAGATTTATTTATTTATTTATTTATTTATTTTTAATCAGAATCCAAAAATTAGTTCAGACTTGGAAACTGAAAGTCTTCTTGGAACCAAGAAAGTACTGTTCCCAAGTGAGAACTAGATCACCTAATTTTGGTACCCGAATCTGATATTATGTTTATCTTCAGCAGAAGTGTTAAAGACTACTTAAAAATCTTGCCACAGGATGTCGCCAGTTAAGCTAGTTGTAAAGTCACCCAGAAATGGAAGTCACAGGTGGTCAAACATGATGCTAATCATATATTTATGCCCCATGCCCATATGGCAACCTTTGTGTGATCCCTTTCCAGGCACAGATGCCTACACTTTCTCAGTCTACTTCAGCTATACTCAAACCAAGATAACAGGGCAATAAAGAGAAGTGAGAAAATGAAATTAGATATAGATTTTTTTCCTCAAATATCAAAACGTTTTTAATAACAAAATATATTGATGCACACAGAACTAGGTGACCCGTTGTGTGAGAGATTGGATCTTAGGTTTGATGAGAATCGTGATTACTATCTTTTGCCCTTGTGTGTAGAAAAAGAAAACTGAAGATCTCATTAATTAACAAAATCAGTATCTGCACCTGTATTTTGACACATTTTTAACCAAAGAACTGGTCTGTGTTGTTGTTGGGAGAACTCTCAAGTTAACAAAGTTTCTCTTTTTCTGCAGCAGTATAATTAAGTACAATTACTTATCAAGTGTCTTGGGGCTATGCATTATATCCGTTAGATGCTTCCCAAGCCAGTTACAGTAAACAAGATGAAAAAAGGAGGGGTGGGGCTGGGGGAAGGGGGAAAGTAAACATCTGAAGGAGAATTTAAATATGGATAAAAATGAAGTGTTTAGAGAATAAAATACTGACTTCAGAGAAAGCATAGAATAAAGTTCTTGAAATAAGAAATGAACTGGTATCTTAAGAATCACAGAAAATAATGAGAGAGAGTTCCCTGGTCCTAGCATTTGTATCTTGATTCTAGGAAGAGTATTTTAATGCCTCTCCTCCCCTGCCTGCTCTACCTGGGATTGGAGGGGACATTAATAGGATGTTTTCTCAAAGTATCTTCTAATTTAACAAAATCATGAAAATGTATTGATATATTGAAATGCTCCTCAGTTTCCAGCTGCAGAAGTGGAATTCAGCTGCGTTCTTTTTCCTTGTCGATCTTTTTTCCCCACAAGCCTTAGAAAGATTTGGGCAAGAGATGTGACTCAGCTGGAAATCTTAACAGAGAGTGTGTTGGAAAAAAGATGGGTGGCACTATATTGAAAAGCGTTATGGCAGGATCAGTGAGTTCTTTCCCAATTTGCCTTTTGGTCTCACATTGCCCTTGCTCATAGCAGTGCCTGTTGGAGTAATTGATTTTTCGGTTCACTGACTGAAAAAAATCCCATTGATCCAAAATGATTTCCTTGGGAAGGAGGTTTCTTATCCTCTTAAATAAAAAAGTTTAAAAATATTTAATCAGGGTTAATTTGAGAAATGTATATATATATATATGTATACTTTAACTAAAGGTAAATATCTGGGCAAATGTCTATCAGAAGCAAAAGCTATTTTGTTTTGAAAATGGCAGACAAAATGGCTTGACTTTTAACATTTTTTTTTTTTTCTCACTGAAATATGTAATGTCTTCAAAAGAAATCTCAAATAGTTTTGATGGTTTTAAAGCTTCCTGTTAATGGAGAACAGCACCATTTGCCACTGCTCTTTATTCAACATTGCTCTGAGGCTGTACACATCTTGCAACTTCTGTTTTTAGAGGGAACAAGGCTGGGGGCTAAACCTGTCCTTGGTGGTGTGTTCCCAAGGTTTTTTTTGTCCACACTTTTCATTTGCATTTTGAACTCTGGGAATTGCTAGTAGGGCAACTGGGTTCAAACTCAGAGTGGATCAGGACCATATTCCCTCCTCAAAGTGGAGGTACCACAGCTACATTTATGAGTCTCCAAAACATAGAGAATGCATTTAAATGAGATGACCAAGATTTAGAAAGAATTATCATTGGGTCAGTGTTTATTTCTTATTTGAACTAAGATAAAATATTTCCATTTCTTGCCTCAGATCCAGATGGTAAAACTGTCATGTCTCCTGTGTGCCTGTAAAATGTGACATCTCACTGGTACTGATTGGCTAGAAAGGTTTTAAATGGCCTTGTACTAAAATAGCCTTTACGTATGTATGTGTAACTGATAAAATCAATACTGGAGAGTGTAAACAAAATGAGGGCTACCACGCAATAGGGTGTAAATATATAGCAACCAAAATAATGTGAGCAAGTCACCCTGTGAATAGCTGCTAGACATACTGCAGCAATGCAGCATATTTGCATATCAAAGACAGGAGCTGATGAGGACCGGCACACTGGGATGGAAGGTCAAACATCCAGGCCCCAAGAAACTGTTTTCTTGACCATGACGTTTGATTGAATTTATGGTATTTTGAAGATACTAGTCTCTTTTAATAATGTTAGACTTTTTCATGTCTGTTCTTATTTCATGAAACAGCTTAATTTTTATATTTTATTTTATTTTATTTTATTTTATTTTATTTTATTTTATTTTATTTTATTTTATTTTATTATTTTATGTTATTTTATTTTATGTTATATTTTAAAAATCCTTGGGTCTTTTTTATGTTTTAAAACAGTTTGTTCGCTCCTAAACTGTTATAGGTGTGATCCATAGCAGCCAATTTCATTTGGAAAGAGCACTGGAGAGCTCAAGCAATATATCATGCCTCCTTCCATTGTCTTCCTGTAGAATATTACCATAAATCTTTGATAGTCAAAACTCTATGTGTATATATTTTAATACAGAAGATCTAGGGTTATTTCTCCATTCTAAAATTTTAGTCAATAATCGTATTTTTCATACAATAAATTTATTTGCTGTTTATTTATTTTTTTTCCTTTTAGGTGCTATTTATGACAGGATTTAACATGATGGTTTAGCTGTTTCTCTGAAAATCCTATTCTTATTTTTACAGTGGAAGTGACACATAGCTTACTAACACTGAAGAAAGGACTGGACACTGATTCATCAGATTGGCTTTACACCTCAGCTGAGCAGGCTGCCAAAAAGTCCTCTTCTGCTTAATGGCAAGAGAAGCGATTTCAGGAAAGGTTTATGTTGACATACTTGAGACATCTAGTTTGGGTGAGTTGATTCCACTGTCAATGAAGTGACTAACTTACACATAGGTATCTACTTAATTGGAGGATCCGGGTGCAGAAGGTCATAAGGCCCCCCCGGTCTGTGTTTTCTCCAGGCTAGTGAAGCCTTTAGTACTGCATTTGCTGAGAAAGTCAGTGGATGTAGAGGATAGCAGTCAGATAAATTTTCCTGCCCACTGACAGGACAATAAACTGTTTCTTTAACCAGCTGTGCTTTAAGGTTAGTTCTCTGCACACAACAAGCAGAAATCTTTTTGCAGGTTGTGGGGCTGTTTGTTTCTTTCCTCTCCCTGCCCTCCTACTCCAGTACTAGGCTTCAGCTGGACTGGGAGTTGAAAAAGAAAAATCTGTCTCTCCCTACTGTTAATGAAGAAAGCGTGGGAATGTTTATGTGTTGCCAGGTCTTGAATTTACAGAGAAAAACATTAGGTGAAGTTTAGCTTTATAAAATGTGCATAGATCACCCTGTTTTATAACATGGGCTTTTTCAAAATGATTGAAGTAGGCTATTCTGGTAATGACAATTCAGACTCGTCCCTTCTGGGAATATAATTTACAGTAAGCTCATTGCTTTGACTAGTTTATTTTTAATCTTTATGGGCATTAAAAAGTAGAATTACCTTGATAATAAACAGGATCCTTGAATAATACACACATTCAGACTGACTAAGGGCCTAGTTTTGACTTAATCTTTAATTCAGCAGCAGACTGCTTTTCATGGTAACATTATCTATTACAAAAATGATCTATATAAAACTGAATAGGGAAGCTATCAAAGCAGTGCCACATACTTATGGTGAAGATAGCAGACAAATCAGTATATACCCTGGAGAAAGTGAAAATCTCTTGTTTTGTTGACTTTTGTGTCCAAGAAATTCTTGGCTCTTGCTTTCTATCCATTTTAGGTTTCTGTAAGGCAGCTTCCACCATAATGTCTAAATGAAATGAAAAGTATTAAAGAAAGCACAGAACGAAAATATACATATATTATATATACATATATATTATTCAGACAAATGGGCAGGACATTTGGGTTCAATTACCAGCTTTGTCCCTGTCTTCCTGTGTGATCTTGGGCAAGTCCGTTTCTTTGTATCACTTACCCATATGCAGACTGTTCTTATGATATTTCTTTTATCCTGCTCATCACTGTTTTTGACTGGAATGAAGTTGTTTTGGGATGGGGCCAATTTTCCCCTGGGAGTCCAGAAGAGAGTTCAGTCTCAAATGTACCCATCCTCTGTTAACTGAGGGTAATTTATCTGTAGTCATTAATTTCTTGAATACCTGTGTATTAGGATACCTGTAAACTAGTCAGTGGGAAATATAACACAGCTTTTCATAAGGTTAGAGATTCTCCTAAAAGCCTTTTTTTAATGACCACTCATGGATAAGAAGCATGATGACTAATGTCATCATGGTGCTTCTGCATTTTCATATTTATATGTTCATATACACATAAATATACATATACATGAAAGTAAAAGCTCTTTCCTGAACAGGTACTTGAATGTAAAAGCTCTGTCTGAGATGAGGAGGGGGAAAAAAATTGAATTACAATGGCCTGGATAAGCTGGTAAATAAGTTTTAATGGAAAAGTTGATGAATTACTGTTACTTTAACCTGAATTAATATGTTTTTAGGGAACCTACTAGGGCCAGGGTGAATGAAAGTTATTCTGAACTCTGAACAAACAAAATAGTAGCTCTTTTACTTGTCCTTTTTCCCTTGTCCTCAAATGCACCTATTTCTCCCTGTATCAAATGATAGGAAATGATAGATGTGCCTGCAAAAGATCAGAACAACTGAAAGAGGCAGAAAGACAGTCTGCAGGCTGGTGAGGTAAAGTCACCTGTAATTGTTGCATTCCCCTTTGGGCAGCCTTTGCCACTCCTCTATAAAATGGCTTCAGCCACATAATACATGTATCAGGCAAGTTCATTGTTGTTCCTTGTGTCATTCCTATGTGTTCCTAGAAGTACTGGTCTTCACTCACCTTGAAAAATGTTATTACTGGGGGCAGAACATGATGGTTTGGAGAAGGGGGATGTGAATTGCCCTGCAGGTGCAGGCAGTGGGGTGGCAGTACAATTTCTTCCCTTGACAGCAGCTGAAGAAGGAGCTCCAATACGGTCTGTAATCTGCTGTCAAGCATTTTTTGTGGAACAAGAGTGACTGTGAAACCTGCACTTATTCTGTGTCTGCTTCCACAGTAATACAAAAGGCACTGGAGCTGACACTCTAGTGTACTGCATGAAAGCACTATGGCCAGAGATAAAATTAAGACCAGACCTTTAGAAATTGCCCATTTGACAGAACAGATTCACCATAGCACATGGCTGTTGAAGAAGGTCTTCTCTTACATTCTACAGTCCAGAAAGCAGCATGTTATGGGAATACACAATGCTTATGTGCCAGCATATTTTCTTCCCTTGATTCATCCTGGATTTGCCCTGTGAAACTTCTCCACCCTGTGCCCCCACCCTGTAAGATCAGACTGTAGAAGCACACATCTGTCAGCTGTGGAGGCTGTCACCATCATGGATCAGTACCGCAGGGTGCCAGACAGACATGAATGGTACGCCGCAGGGCCAGCACAAGGAGGAGATATTGATGCTTTCCAGTTTCTGAGTCCCACAGGACTCTGAGCTCAAAATGAGCCAGAAACCACTGCCTCCTGGAGAGGCTGAGCACAGCTGACAAATGGCATTTTGCCTGCTTTAAAGGTAGCATCTCTTGGCTTTTGTTCAGTTTACACTTATGTGCTTAACTTCTAACCTGGAAAGTAAAATATCATTTGACATACTGCCTTTGAAAGACTCCAGGCACCAAGTCTACTTGGTAATTGCTGGAGCAGCAAGGAAAGAAGCCATCTTTCAGGTCCGTAATAGCAGCTTTTTCTCAAAGGAAGGAAGGGAAGAACCCTTCCTTTACTATTGGTAGGTAGCACGATTCTCCAGAGGGATGACAGGATCATTCATATAGTCCTGACCTCTCAGCCTTCACAAGATCACTGAAGATGATAAGGGTTTGTATATTCTAATGTCTTGGGAAAATAGTGGAAGAAGTATTAGGAAGGGAGAGGAGAGCTTCTGTTCTAACTGGCAGGACACTGTGTGACTATGGTGGCTGACAGCTGTTGAACAAAATTGATTAAAATAAATGACATTACAATTTGCCGCCAAGCAAAGCCAAGTATTAACCCTTAACTAAGCTAATTTAGCTAAGACAGTTTAGAGGCTATTTTTTTAAAAAAAAGAAATAAATAAAGGGTTTAATAAAGAAGTTGAATGTGTTGTATCAGATGAGCTATTGGATAAGGCTGCCAACCGTGAACTTTACACAAAAGCAATCCACTGTGTCCTTTTTTAAGTCTTGGAAGAGTGAACTCCACTCCACTGTTTTTCATGCTTGGATCTGGAATCTTTGTCTTCTGCAAATATTAGACAAATTTCTCAAGTGTCTGTCATTCTTCACCAAGAGCCCAGGCTCCCTAATGTGATAACTTGAACACCAAAAGGACCTCATGTAAATTCTATTAAAATTCAATCAAGGAAAATAAACTGCAGACATCTGCTCTTCACTTTGGTACTGTTTAGGTGTTTTCCCTTGGTCTGCATAAAACCGCTTACATAGCTTGAATAAATGCCAGCCCAGCATTTCAGTATCTAATCGGCTAAATAACCATGTGAACAATGGCAGTGAGAAGATAAATGAGAAGGTGAAGGTATCACAGGATATGGATTATCTGGCTACTGTTCCTCACTCAAAAATTGCTGATTAGTGATCTCTTTTAAAATCTGATTAGAAAGGAACATTGTTTTCATTCAGTTAAGTAGGGGCCGGTCACCTTTTATGCTTCAAAATATATGAGACAGCATTTATAGGAGTGTGACTCTTCTGGGTATTAAAAAAAAATAAATAAAAAATCGGAAAAATAAGACCTAGACCATCCTTTAAGCAGGGAATGCATTCTCCTTTTCTCTCCATTAGTCCTGAAACTCCTTGAATTATAGTAGTAGGTCAAATTCCTCCATGGTGAAGCTTTATTGGTCTTGACAGACTTTACACTAGGGATTTGTCTGTTGCAGTATAAAATATCCACCTTCTCATGCACAAACACACAAGATACAATGCTGAAAGGTTTTAGCATGCATTGCTAAAGACATGATAGCAAAGGATCCACTATACGATTTTTCACTGCTAGAGAGGAAATGCCAGTCCCCTGTAGGGCAGCAGAGGGGCGGTATGCCATGTGGTCTCTCTTCTAGAAATTGGCCTCTTTTATACCCAAAGCACCTGGAGCTGACAGCCCACCCTCTCTGGTGCTTGAAATGGTTAGGTCCAACATTTGGAATTGTAGTCTTGCTTGGCTACTGCTGCACACTGGTGATATCTAAAGGGGACAAGTGCTGAACACTGGGACAGTAAAGCTCTCTAGATGCCTAAAGGTCTGAGCTAGGTTCACAGATTGACTAGCTTCCCTCTGTGATGGATTTGTAAGCATGCTCTAATGCTGTTGTACTGGGCTTCACATGAGGCATCTCTGGAAGTGCTGACAAGTGCTGTCTCTCCCTCTCATTCCTGTTTTAATCATTCACCTCCTAATTATAACTCAGACTTGATGGTGATGATGGGGAAGATTTCACTTCCCTCATCTTTCTGAAATGATTTGAACCTGGGATTAACTACTGTGGGGAGAGTGACGATGTTCTCATTCCCTCTGTTAAAGCTTCTGTTTTATGTGGAGTAAATAAATGTGCATCAGGCCAGATAATAAACATGATACAGGAGTGCTTGGGGCACCTGGGTTACTGTTCCCACTAGTCTATTTATATTCAATAAATCCCATGGAAAGATGGGATTTGAGACATACTTCTGCTTTAATGTTGCCTCTCAGCTGACTGCTATCTTTTATTCCTTAGGCTGTAGCTGCAAGGACTGGAAAATATGGTTTTAGAAAATGCAACATAGGGTTTAAAA